TTTCCCTGGGCAGCCTGTTCCAATTGCTGACCACTCTTTCGGTAAAGACATTTTTCCTAATATCCATTCTAAACCTCCCCTGATGCAATCTGAGGCCCTTGAAACACATAAAGAATGTGGAGACCTGGGAGCCACTGCCATGGGACGCTGGGTGAAGAGACTGAATCTGTCGTGTGCTAGGGCTCTTTAACTTTTGGAAAGGGTAAACTCTATCTCATTTATCTGGCTTTCTGCAAGTCACTGAAGATTTTTTTAAATTTACTAAGCTTAAATATTTAAGTTTTTCTAACCATTCATGGTACTCCTGAGAATTCATGATCAGAAGTCTCTTAGCCATCTTAACCTGGAAGTGGTGTGCTTTTCCCTGTGTCCCAGTATGGCATCTCAGCGACGTGAGCTCACGTGGGCTGAGATACAAGACACTGACAAATTCTCTTTACTGAGTGTCCCAGTAAGAAAACCACTGTAAATTATCTCTCCTTGCTCCAGTGCCCTCTCTGTACTTACACCTCCCGTGCAACCTTCTTCCCCTCAGGCAACCAGTCAACTTCTGACAGTCCTTAATGCCTATTCCTTTCATCCCAGAGGAGAAGGAAAGTGCCCCAAATGTAGGCAGATTCAGGCTATGGCTTAGAGTTGCCTTTTTTGACCTGACTGTATTGCTGTATACAGAGGCCATTTTGCAAAATATATCCTTTTTTTTTTTTTCTTGTGCCCCAGGAATACACCAGAAAATGCCTAACTGTGATGGGAGGACTCTGGGGCTCTTGAAAGATAGTTTGCATGAATCCAGTGTTTCTGAAAGCACATCTCATTTAAATATTAATGTTATTCAGCAGCACAGTAACCAGAGAGCGAAAGGGCAAAAAACCCACAAAAACATGTTTTTGTGTGTTCAGGGCCATGTTCTCCTGTAGGATTTGTTGCCATAAATCTCTGGGCCACAAAACAGACTGTATTATGCAAGGAAGGCTGCAAGTTACCAAGAGAGTTAATTGGTTTATACTGTTTTAATAAGACCTCATGGGAAACAGATTTAATAGTGGAGTGCCAGTATCACATAATAAAACACGGTTTATAGAGGATATTACGACGTAAGATACAGTGTGTCTGACTGGAAAGTATTTGCTGAACTTTCAGGGAACAATGTCTACGTCTATTGTGTTGGAAGCCTGGAAATGGGGCTATGTGGCCGTAGCAGTTAAAAAGAAAACAAGCTAGCGATTTAGGTGGAAACTGTCCGCCACGAGGGAATCAAGAGTTTTATTGTGGGAAGGTCACACAGAGACCTTTCTTTTAGAGAGGGAAATAAGAGGATCCGATGTACAGTTTGCTCCAAGCACTCATCAAACCAGCCTCTCTGCCCTTTTCCCTTCCCAACCACAAGGTTTTCCTGCAGGGAAGGTGTAAGGTAAGTAATGTCACCGGGCATTTACAAACCTGAACTTGGACCCCAAGGTGTGGGGTCTGTGATCAGGGTGAAACAGCGAATCTCACCACGTTTTTCGCTCGTAGGTTGCGAGGTCGAAATCCTCGGGGTCAGACCAAGTTATTGCCGTGAATACTTCAGTGTCCCGACAGACAAAAACTTTGCGGATGCCATCAGCGATGCTCTCGAGTCTTTGCGGTACGTCACTGAACTTCTGCAGTGTGGGGTTTCCTCTCTCCAGGATGAGTATTTGGGTTTACTGTCAGCCTTCCTGTAGGGAGATCGTCAGGATTCGCTCCCACGGAGGAAGATGAAGGCCGAGACTGCTTTGTAGCACTGTCATAGAAACATCACCATTACAGAAATTGACCCTTACGTTAAGATCAGAGGGAAAGATGTGCTCCTCTTTTCATGTGTAGGTTACAACACAGAGGAGACATCCTGACTTACTATTTTTAATTTGCCATTTCAAACAACTTCAAGATCAGTCTGTGAGTATCTGTTCAGTGAACTGCAAGAGCAGACTTTGAAATGCTTAGATACAGAGAGCTCCTGGGAATTTGGAAATTCTGAAATTCAGTTCCGGCCACTTACTTAGAAGACCAATGTTTTGTCTCCCACTGCATGTTAGAACATCTCAGGCACAATGATTTTGGAGCAGGCATTCACTTTGTGCAGATGTGGGAATTTAGAATAGAATAGAATAGAATAGAATAGAATAGAATAGAATAGAATAGAATAGAATAGAATAGAATAGAATAGAATAGAATAGAATAGTTCAGTTGGAAGGGACCTACAATGATCATCTAGTCCAGCTGATGGGAATCATGGGAATATATCTCTCAACCAGCTCCTAGGAAAAAAGTGTGCTCCACTCCCTGCTTTCTAGTTCCACCATCTCTCATCCAAACGTTAACAAAGGACAATTCCATGTACCTTGTAAAAGCAGGGAAGACTGCACCACCACATGCAGAGATAATGCCTTACCCTAGCTATAACTAATCTTCCTCTTTTAAAACCTTGTTTGTTCCATAATTTATCCAATCCAAGGATGCACTTCTAATTTTCTTCTTGCAAACTGCCATAGTGATTTGAATCTGAAGAGTTTCATATTCAGATGCTGGGTGCTGCTTGTCCCTGAAATGAAGGCTCCAAAACGATGAGTGTGCTGCCGGAGATGTAGCTCCCAGTTGCACACTGGGTCCTGCTGTGCAGGTACTCACAAATCACTCTGTCGTTTACAGGATAGGGCTTAGAGAGAAGCTGTCTCCAAACATGTGAGACATTTGATCCCAAAATGATTTAGCTTATATTTTAAGAAAGTTAGCTGCATGTGACATGAGGAGTTTGTATGTGCCATAGGAGGCTTTCTGGAGCTTCTGCAACACTTTTATTTCAGTGAATAAAGAAAGGAATGGAAAACTGAACACCAGCTCTGACTTCTGGTGGAAACCCAGAATTACCATGGGAAGCTTTTTGGTCGGGTATCATTTGGGGGTGGGTCAGAATATGCTTGAAGCTGCCTGTCTGGTTTCTACGAAGCAAGGTGCATAAGGCTGCTCAGGATGGATTGCAGCTTTATAAATGTGAGCAAGATTAAAAACAAGGCACAAACTGTTAAAAGCTCCAGCCCTTCAAGCTGCTCTTTTGGGTAGCTGGAGCCCATTGAAAAAGTTTCAATAGCTAATTCACCCTGAGTCACAAGGCTGCTTGCTGCTGCCGTTGGTGGAAAAGAAGCGAAGGGCAGGGACACAAGAATATTGGTGGGGCAGCTCACAAAAGGTGAAAGCTGATGATCTCAAGAAAAGAGCAGATCCTTGCCACCATGATGTCTGCCGTAAACACCCACTACAGCCTGCTGAAGAGCCCAACAGATCGTGCTGGAGCTGTCAGAGGTCCCATCCCTGGTGTCCATTTACACACCATCCCCTCTTGAATTTCTGCCTGGGTTCCTTTCCTTCAAACCAAGTGCCCTGTCTGCAGCAAGGTGGGAAGGAGGAAAAAAGAACAACCATTGATAAAATTAATGATCAGTTGTAGGTGTAAATACTGCAGGGAGTTACAGTAAGGAAGGAGGGTAGAGAATGAACAGAGAAAAAAATACTCAAGTTTCCCTTCTCCTTTCTCACAGTTGTTTTTCCCATCGTTCATCCTCACAGAATCACAGAATCACAGAATAGTAGGGGTTGGAAGGGACCTCTGTGGGTCATCTAGTCCAACCCCCCT